CACGAATGGTCCTTTGTTAATAATTCCGTTAAGAACGTGGACAAAATTGTATATTTATACTTCTCTCTCCTCAATTAAGCTTCCTCCATCTTCTCATACTCTTTCCCAAACTCGTCACTGAATTTAAGCTCTTAAATCCAAAATTTAAATGATCATTCATCCAGTTAGATAAACAATTGAGAGAAGAGTGATAATTTTGGTTTTTGGTTCAAAGCTAGAAACTCAGCGACGGGTTTGGGATAGGAGTGCAAGGGAAGAAGGAAGCTTAATTGAGGAGAGAAAGGAGTGCGAATTTATAATTTTATCCACATTCTTAACGAAAATGTTAACAAAGGACCATTCGTGGAAATGAATATAATAATTGGGGACTAAATTAGTAATATTTGATATGTAGGGACTAAATATGTAAAACGACCTATAACTGGGGATCTTTTATGGAATTTACTCTACTCTAATTTTGGCTCGTACAAGTAATACACTGAAAGTCTGAAATAGTGAAAATAGCCCTCAAAAAATCTAAACCAGTCGAGGTGCCCCCTCCCAGTGAAGGCAAAGAGAAGAGGCGCCCATCCGCCACTCGCCGGAACGCCGCCTTTGACCTGCTGCCGCCTACGCTGCCCCAGGCACCTCCGTCGCTAGCTACCACTTCCGCTGCTCCGCCAGCCGCCAGGTAGCCTCAACGGCCCAAATTAAATACTCCGTATTAGTCTAATTAATTTATATATTAGTCTTTATGCAATTATCATGAATGATGTGTGAATTTTTGATGTGCGGATTTGTCAAGTATGAATTTATCATTTGTGATTAGATTAATTTTCATAATTTATACCATATGACTATATGAGGCCATGAGGGTATAGTTTTTTTTGTATTTTAATCAGTCAAGTGCTAATTAAAGTAAGTTGTTAATTCTTTGAATTTTTTGAATTTAGATTTAGGATGCAAAGGCATTCTAAAAAGATGCAAACATTGTAAGTGTTTGAATAAAGTGAGAATCCCTATCTAAATAGAATTCAGATGTGTTGTCCTCTTTAACTCAATGGTTGGAGTGAAAAATTGGTGAACCTAAAAAGCAATGTGAAGATTGAAGAAAATTTTGATTTTGGATCATTAGTGACATAAATAGAAGTATTTTTGCTACCTCTAATGATGATGTTATCATAAACCATTTCTAAAACATGAACACTATGTTTGGTTCAAGGATTTTGGAAGGAAAAGAAAAGAAAACGATTTTCTCTCATTTTCCTCACCAAAATGGGAGGAATTTGGTTTTCCCTCCATTTAGTACATTTGTCTTCTCATTTTCTTTTCCTTTCACTTTTCCTCTCCAACCAAACATGAAAAACTGTTTTCCACTCCTTTTTCTTTTCTTTTCTCATTCAAATTCCTTGAACCAAACATAGTGGAAATGTAGACACTCCCAATTGTAAGATGTATTTTATATGCGCAATGTAAGATTACTATTGATTTTGAATTTACTTTAGAATTATCATGTAATATGTAGCCACTAATTTTCTGGATAATTCTTTTACATAATGCTCTACATGTGACACATGGATACACATTTTCATGAATGGGACCCCATTGCCTAACATTCCTGGGTCTGCCCCTGCTTCAAAGCCAAAATGGCACACTTAAAAAACACATTAGCTGAAGAATTTAGGGCATGAAGACTGGGTGATATGTGAAAATTAGGTTGTGGGTATATTAGCAATCTATAATCATGTAAATATACTGGCATATTCTTTTTTGTTTTTTAATTAATAGGGGCAACTGCGTCCATTCACTAATTGGTCGCATCACCGCAGCCCATGATCCATCTATTTACGAATACAGAAAACAGTTGCAGAATCTTTGAGGCCACATATACTGTTTTTTTAATAATAAAGAATCTGAATTTGCAGATTTTGGGAAAAGAGAGGTCCAATGGAGGCAAAAATTAAAGAATTACTCAACGATCTTGAAACACTCAAGAAAAAGTTATCTGATCCCTCTCAGCTCCAGTTGGTTGATAAGGTAAATTAGTACGTGTGTGTATTGATATATAGGGAATGATTCCAATGAAATGACATTTTGGTGAGATGAATGAGATAGTGCAATGTGACCCACCCATTTCAAAAAGTGACAAACAAAAATGCCACCTTGCTTTTGATTGACTCACATTTTGTCATCTCACGTCAGTCGCTAGAGTCTATGCCATATATATATATATATGTATATGTATATATGTATATATATATATGTATGTATGTGTGTGTGTGTGTGTCTATATATATATATATATATATATCTGTGTGTGTGTGTGTGTATGAGGAAGGATATTGCTACACTAGTAGCATGTTGCATCAGTCATCATTTCCACTTAGATTATTTTCACTCAAAATCACCTGTAGGATTGCAACAAGTTAGTAAGAGTAAGATCACCCCGTCACAATGATCCAACAGTCGGTTCGTTGAGAATCATGCTACTTAAACCTTACACATTATATTAGATTGATTTCAAATTGCATGATTCTCGATGAACCACTTTTGGATCGTTGTGAGGATCTACGAGGGTGATCCTATGTGGTACTAACTTGTAATCCTATGGTCAGTTTCGAGTGAAATTAGTCCGAGTGGGATATTATGATTGGTGTAACATTATCTTTCCTCTTTATATATATACACGCCATATGTTGGTGTTTATATGCTTACATGCCTACATATAGTTGGGGAAACTCATATCTATAAATACGCCTTGTTTTGGAACAACAATTTCAATTAGCATCACCATTTTGGATAATTTTTTAATAGTGCTAATTAACTTAAAAAATGCTAAAGCTAAATGCTGTCGTTGGATATCCTTTTCAAAACGTTAAAACTAATCGCTGATGTTGTGGCCGAATGGCCACTAAATAGGGTTTGGATATCCTTTTCGAAACGTTAAAACTAATCGCTGATGTTGTGGCCGAATGGACACTAAATAGGGTTTGTTGTTTTTTGCGTTACATCCTTTAGATGCGTTCGTGTGGTGAGAATATCGCAGCGTTAACAATGCCAGGACCATTACGACGCCCAATAATCAAGGTGATTTGTGTTATCATAATCAATTTTTGCATGATTACTTAACACAGTTTCATCCGCTAAAAATTTGATTAATTAAGGATATGAGCACAGAGGTGGTTGATAGCAACCCATATAGCAGACTTATGGCACTCCAGAGGATGGGCATTGTAGAGAATTATGAAAGAATACGGGAGTTTTCTGTTGCTATAATTGTATGCACTTTGATCTCTTTCCTTTTAAATTATAAATATATTGATTTTATGATTCAGTTTGTTCCATGCCAACATTACAGTTCCTAAATGGCTGATATTAGAAGAAACAAAAGCAGTCTTTTAGCACAAGTGTTTAATGTCGTTTTTATTCACTCCAATTTAAACATTACTGCTTCAACAGGGCTAATAACGGCAGACCTTGCTCCTACTTGCTTTATTTCTAAATAATTATTGTTCATCTTTCTATCGATGTACACCAGAAAAATCAAGTTATGCGTGCGTGTTTCATTACTTCCATGGGTACTTTTCTATCTAAACGTTTTACTACTTTGTAATTTTTTTCATTGATGGTCTTTTCACATGCTATATTGGTCTCTATCTATTATTGCCTGTTCCAGTTATGCTTCAGAATACAGCACTTAAATAAATGTGATGTAATTCGTATTAGGTTCTCAGCCAACTTTTTCTTTCCTACTCAAGCATATTCTACAGTTGTAGTAATGTGAGTGTTGCCATTAATTAAACTCAAGAACTCATTTCATTATTCCTAATGTTGTGAACAGGGCATAGGTGGTGTAGGTAGTGTTGCTGCTGAGATGCTAACGAGATGTGGCATTGGCCGACTGTTATTGTATGATTACGACAAAGTGGAGTTAGCTAACATGAATAGGCTATTTTTTCGTCCAGAGCAGGTTTTATTATGAAAGAACTCTCAATTTTACTCTCCAATTTTAAACTATCCTTGTGAACTAATTAACAAATGTATTATTTTCAATGGATAGACTTCAATTGGATGTAAGTTTTCTCCAGCTATCTAATGATTTTGTACTTGTGTAGTAAATGATATGTTGTTTCTCAAAGTTGTAGATAAAAGAAACATTTGCCTATTGCAGCACCATACATTTTGCATTCTTTTCAGGTTGGTATGACAAAGACAGATGCTGCTGTTCAAACCCTTGCTGAAATAAACCCTGATGTTGTGCTTGAGGTTAGGATTAAAGGTTTAGCTTTTACATGTATTTCTGTTCTAGGACTACTAATTCCTCATCCCCGCTTCAAAAACAACAACAAATCCCACATAATCCCAACTCCGTTGGGGTGGGGTCTAGATCTATTATGCAACCTTGCCCTTGGAAAGAGATGCTTTTTCCACTTGACCATTGATGCATTACTGCATTTAATGCCCAAAACTTCATAGAAAGTAAGAGGCATACTAATGTAACACTTATATGCTACACTTTTTTAATTCGCGATAATGTTTTCTGTATGCCTTTTTTTTCTTGAACATTTTTGCTTGTTTATCCCCCTGCATTCTACCCCAAAGCTGTGGTCGATATTTAATGTTTTACTCCCTTTGTTCTAAATTATATGTCCTAGTTTGACTTTTATTCTAACTTTGACCATAAATTAAATATAATTTCAAGTAAATAAAAGTTAATTTTTCTTTCCCTCATCAAAACTACATGTTAAAACTAACCCAATTATATTAAATTTATATTATAATTAAATGTTTTTTTTTCACAATTTATGATCAAAGTTAGCATGAAAGTCAAACTATGACAAATAATTTGGGACGGAGGGAGTATATAGCTATCCTTAATATTCTTCTCTGATGTTAAATGGCTCTGTTTAATTTTTCTTTCCCTCATACTCACCCTTGCATATCCGTTTCCAGTTTTATCTCACTAATGTTTTTCTTTTAGAGTTACACACTGAATATCACAACAGTTGATGGTTTTGAGACATTCATTTCAAGTCTCCAGAATAAATCATTTTGTGTATACAAAGAAGGTAGCGGGGTGGATCTTGTTTTAAGCTGTGTAGACAATTACGAAGCAAGGATGGTAGTAAATCAGGTATGACCAAGTATCTTCTAGAAAGCCTGCAAAATGCATGCAGAATACTTTGTTCATTGCACACAATATTGAGTATTTTTTTGTTTTTAGTTCGCTATCCTCCTTTTTTGTCAAAATTTTTGTAGCTAAGCTAAAATTTGGTTTGACAGGCATGCAATGAGTTAAACCAGATATGGATGGAATCTGGTAAGCCATTGTTAATTTTTTTTGCTTTATTATGTTTCCTTTTGTCATTTTATCACAACAATGTTTTGAATTTGTGGGAAGTATTCTATGCAAATGCGACAATATAAATAATTAGGTCGGAAGAGAAGCAACACCGTTGTAGCGCTATGGTGAGGTTTCAGCTCACTCCCAAATTCACCATACATAATACCAATTTCTAGTTTGTCATATTATTTCCAAGTTATAGTTTTATGTTCATTTGCAAGTTGCTATAAATTAAACTACAAACTCTCAAAACTCGTTAAGAAATAAAGATTTTAAATGGCTTGCATTGCCACGATTACCATTGATGCCATGACTTGGTATAGGTGGCTTTTGCCATAATCTTTAATACTATCATCTAGAGCTGGCAAATCGGTCGGTCAGGTCAGGTCTGGGTTCGGGTAATTTCGGGTTCGGGTTGAGAATTGTATGTTCATGACCAGTGTTATCGGGTTCGGGTCGACCCAAAGGGTTATGGCTTTGGTTTTTAAAATTTTTAAATTCACATTAACACTTATGTTTTGTATTAAATAAATTTAAAATATCAAAAAATATGCATTAAATCTATTAGTTTATTTTATTTTTAATTCTGAAGTAACTTTTAGATATATAAATGAATATAAGGAATTTAAAAAATGCTTATGTTTTTCAAAAAAGTAAGATAATTATGCAATATCATTAAAATTTTGTTTGAAAATGCTCCCTCCGTCCCCTTTTAGATTACAATATTCCCTTTTAGACAAAATTAAGGAAGAGTCAAATCAATATTTTTTTTTCTCCAAATTACCCCCCTAATAGTATAGGAATGAGTGGGTGGGTGAGATTTTGACATTGAAATGATAAAGGGGAGAGAGGGTAAAAGAGCCCATTTAGGTGTAAAAGTAAACACTTTGTAATTCTTTTTGGGACAAAAATAAGAGGGAATATTGTAATCTAATTGGGGACGGAGGGAGTATAAATTTATGCACTAAAAACGAGTAGTAAAGTGTATGATTTTGAAAAACTCTTACTTTTGCGGGTCGGTCAGGTCGGGTTCGGGTTCAGTCAGGTTTGACCCATTTTGAGCGGGTCATTTTCCGGTCAACTTCGGGTTCGGTCATCAAAACCTTTCTTCGAAACCCAATGTTTTCAGGTCGGGTTTCCGGTCAAAAACAGGTCGGGTCATTTTTTGCCAGGTCTACTATCATCACATAGAAGTTTCCCAACCTTTCGCAACTTTTCTTGATTAATCAACCTTAAAGTAGTACAAGTGTTAGGGGTAAACCGGGGGTCTTATCAAGTTGATAATTTAGTGGCGGATGTGCGGAGGAAAATGGAAGGGAAATAGTGGGCGAAAGTATGGAGGGTGTTTTAGGAGTTCTTTTTTGGTATTTTATGGAAGAAAAAGAATAGGATTAAGAAGGAGAAATGGAGGGATATGAAATGGATGAAATATCACGGATGGATAAAACCAAGTTGGTGTTAAGAGATATGACACACCCTTATCTTAACTTGGGGTTGAGTCTAGAATTTAATTAAGATATGACACACTCAATTAAATAACTAGAACCTAAAACTCACACTTAAGGTAACCACTCTTAAGATATAGAATTAGGAATTTGGCTAAAATAGCATCACACTATTTTAATAATACTCAAAGAGTAAAATGTTTTAATATTCAAAAGGTATGTTACAATGGCCATAAGGCCTGAGTTATATAGGCAGGGGAAGGGGGAGATTATTCAAAATACATTGAATGTAAACTTAGGGAAGCTTCCTTGCAACGATCTCTTCCAAGGCATGGGGTATTGGCCATTCATTCATGTCTCCTTAGTGGAATAAAATCAGGGATGGGGCTGGGGTTGTGGGGGTTTGTGTTTTGGTTCCTAGTGGTTGTTTCTTGGGTTTTTGTGGCTATTATTTAGGTAAAAATGGGGGTTGTTTTTGGCTAATAAAAGGGGGCAGGGATGGGGGATATAATGTGTGGTTTTGGACTTATAGGTTTGGGTTATTTGTAAGGGAACATGGGCAGGAATGAGTGGCTAGTGGTGGGTCAGGGTTTTGGCTCTTTGTGGGTGTTTATGTTGGGATTGTGAAGTGTATTTTGGCCAGGGGGTGAATGGAATAGAGGGAGGGTTTTATTTGTTGAATAAAAGGCTTAAAAGAAGGAAAATAACAACAAACAAAAGGTTTTATTTTACACACCCTTATTTTCGGCCAT